GTCCTACCGATCCCATGACACCTGAAAAACCTCAGCATCCTCCTTGATAACGATACACTCCAAAGCAGCATATCCAAGATACAATCGACGCAGGTTCGTGCCACGCATGTGGCAATCTCAGTCAGAGCGCGAGGTTAGGTTAATCCGTGACGTGACACCTCGCGTCTCTAGATCTTCGTGATTCAGTTTGCGGCTGGTCGTCGTGGCGTCGACTCGTACACTCAGAGGGCAATTTTCGACGGTCATCATTTTCCACTGATGCTGGGACCTCGAAGTCCTGTGAGGAAGCGCATACTCGTGGGATGTCCCCTACAACTTGCGACATCAATGATCTCGGTCTAAATCATGCTTGCGAATGCTGCAGCGACAATTCTGACCCTGATACCTCCAAGCTTGGAAGGACACTTATGGTTTGATCTTGATATCTAAAGGAGAATGGATGAGTTCTGGCGTTCCATTTCGACTGGTAAGCTGGAACAAGCCTCTTGATCTGGATCACCGTTCATGGTCCCGCAGATCACCGCGTCCTTCACAGTATACGTCCCCGGTTGCTCCCCCCGGCTGTTCGGCCTGACTTGAACTTTCAAACGAGTAAGTATGGTATCTCGTCAGCGTAAGGTTTTTTATTCTGGTCGCACGTTGCGCTTCTATTGAATGAGGTAGTTGCCCCTATCCGGCCACTTCGATTGCCTCGTTCTCGCTCCCTTGAAAAAATGGACTGGAATTGCTTCGAGCTTGCGAAACCCGACCGCTGTCGATTACCATGGAGTTATTGTCGGACACGTCTTGATCTGGGGTCGCCGCGATGGCCAGGATCCTCTGTATGTTCAACATCAGTGATGGAACATGTGGGAGGAGCTTGGATGATACAAGAAGAGGAATGCCACAGTCTTTTATGGGAGACTCGTCCCCGGGATTCTACTACCTGCGGCTCTCTTGGGTGCTCCTTACCTCGACGTGCCAAATTTCGGTGATATGGGTACGTCACCGTTCGCATTCACGGTAAAACCGAGGCCTGCGGCGTGTATGCGCATTCTATTCTGGTTCATCATGTCAAGGCTGATCTACCCGGAGCCGGATAAGGTCCATTCATGCACAGCTACGATGATTGAAAAGCCTATAAAGTGCGCGGGAAGCCGGCTGTCTGACGATACAGAAACCTTCAGCTTTCTCCGCTATGGAGTCTAAGTTGCCTGACTTCGAATATCTTTGCCCGTTTCCTCCACTTTGCAATCCACTATACGACACCGTGCGTGCCGAGTCATCTGCCTGGGTCGAGACCTTCGCGCACTATGCAGACAACCCGCGCAAGAGAGCGTTCCTGCACTATTCCGACCTCGAGCGTCTGGTTGTCGTTCGCTACCCGACACCCGACTACGAGGCGATACGAGTCATTTGTGACTGGAGCAATGTTATCTTCGCAATCGATGAGACTACGGATGATCAGACCGAGAAAGGAGCTGCGCAAACGATGAAAGCCCACTTGGATGATATGTCCGGGAGCGATGGCGAGCAGTCTCCGTATACCAGATGTGTAACGAGTGAGTTATGTGCTCTGCTCCACGACACCTATCATGGTCACAAAAGCTGCATATTCTTCACGACAGTATAGGGACCCGGCTGAGGAGACTTTTTGGTCCCAACGCGTTCAACCGGTTTCTAGAGAACAAGTGAAATATATTCCACGGAAACTGCAAGAGAGGCGAAGCTACGACACGAGGACAAAATTCTGACGTTCGATGAAATCATTATCTTCTAACGGTCCACGAGTGCTGCGTGTATTTGCTTGGACTTCATCGAAATGGTTTTCAGATTTGAGCTCTCCGACGCGGTCCTTGAGGACGAAGTATTCAAGAGAATGTATGATCACACTGTGGACTTTGTGGCTTGGACGAACGTAAGCGCTTTCCGTATGGAGGACGGAGCCCTGTAATTTACGGACTTGCTTGACAGGATGCCCATTCATACGCCATGGAATACAGCAAATGGCATAAAAATGCGAACGTCCTCACTGTTATCATGAACGAACAAGGTGTTGACCTGCAAACAGCCTGCAACCGTTTCGAATTAATATATAAATCCCGAGTATGACGATTCTTGGCAGACAAGACCGACTTGCTTGGCCGCGCATGGGATAAGGCGACCATGAAGTGTTTGGGTGAGCGGCATCACCGCCTGGGGTTTCGTATCCGGCAGATATTTCGGTGCAGATCACGCACAAGTATCCCGCAGTTTAACGGTGAAGATTACGAGAGAATATAAAGGTGGCTTTGTATTTAGAGCGGCTGGGCCAGACACAGGGTATGCGGGTTCTTCCCTCTAGAAGATACACGTGTGCAGAGGTGTCTGGTGCTTAGCATATGTACGAGCATAATTTAGGTTCGGTAGTTAATGTACAATGTACATTTGGAAGTAGGAATACGTGGTGTTGCTCAATTGTAACTCTCGCTTGGCGAGTAGCGGTCGTAAAGCCGCAGCGCGAAGACATCCTCATTACCAGAATGTAGCCTCAACATTGCGGCCCCGGCTCGAAGATTAGCACTCCAGTTGAAGAGCAACGACGTGCTACAACATTATGGATCGGGACGTTTCACCCACTTGTTACGGTCAAGCTCAGTGTTGTGCCCGGATGTGAGAGGCCGACCCTGAGGCTACAATGAAAACCAGCCAGATACCATCCAGCGGCCTGTCCTCAAGTGCCCCGTCGAGAAATGTGTCTTAGATATGGAGAGATTGTGAGTGAACGGTGGAACTTTGCCATCAAGCGCAGCACGGATTTCGGAACGCATATCGCAGCTCATCCGGGATGCATCTCACGGAGGCTAATGGGGTATTATTAAATGCCTTGCTAATCCCAAGCCGGATTTCTATGCCTGTGCGTGTAACACGAGAAGTAAGGTGGCCCACGTGACATGAATGTGAAGACAGGCAAGTATTCCGCGAGATCTCTTGCCTTGACGGCGGGATAACTACTCCTGCAAAGTTAAACAACTTTTTCTCTGCTGTATGAAAGTTCAACCAGTGCTGATAGTGCCAAACCTGAGAGAAGCTCGAAAACCTTTCAATCGACTTGAAGGCTCTACGGAAGGGTAGTCGTGTGGCAAGCGTACCCCAGGCCTCGTGCATATGCCTGAGGGTACGGCCCTTTATAATCCTCGTTCCTTCACGATCGGTAGGTCCGTGCACTTCGTTGTTCAAGTTAGCGTAAGCTTAAGAAGCTGAAGGCACTGGCAGGAGACCGAGGAAGCAATGCTATGTGCTATACATCAGGGTAAGCTGAGCAAAATCTAGTAGAAGAACTTTCTTTTTCTAATTCTCGAAATTTGTCCAAGAAACAGTCCACCTCGAGTCCTCAACGCCGGCCGTCGCGTAACTCGCGTTTGCGACGCGTTTGTGGCAACGAACCCACCAGAGCCTGGAAAAAACGCGTCCTCGCCACGTGGTACTTGTCCGTCCTCTCCCGCTCCCCTCTACTTCTCCGTACGTAACGTATACGTCTTTTTCCGCACCGCTCATGCTCGTATACCTCGGTTGATTCCTCATTTGAGATGGCACAAGGAGTAATTCACACCGTACCGGTACAATCGCCAGCTTGAAGAACTGCTCAGCGTTGATATGACGTCACGCGTCAGGACTCCAATCCACCAAGGCACCGCTGTCCTTGATTTCTGCGACCGCATAGACGAACAAGTGTCTTGGGGGTGGTGGATTGTACCGTTGCTACACCAAGAATCTACCCCAACTGGAAATGAGTACAAAGTCGGGAGGACATGTAAGTCCTCCTTGTCTTCCCGAGTTGAAGATTCACATACAGCGCGTCAGGAGGCAAAGACTCCTCCAGTGGTCTCCCTACTGGCTGGCGGTATCGCCGGCGGTCTGGAAGCAGCTCTCACGGTAAGAACCTCATCTATCTATGCGAACGGACTGCCTCTACAAACTCGGACTGGCATACTGATACTCCCTCACATAGTACCCCTTCGAATTCGCCAAAACCCGCGTCCAGCTCCGCAGCGAGCAGGGAATCCCAACTCCCAAGAATCCTTTCCGTGTCGTCGCGCAGGTGTACCACACCGAAGGCCTCCCGGCGCTCTACAAAGGCTGCTCCTCGCTCATCGTCGGCTCCGTCGCCAAGGACGCCGTACGCTTTCTCTCCTTCGACGCCATCAAGAACGCCTTTCGCGACCCGTCCACCGGCGCGCTCTCCCCGCTGAACAACGTCCTCGCGGGCATGTGCGCGGGCGTCGTCGCGTCCGTGCTCGCCGTGACGCCCACCGAGCGGCTCAAGACTGCGCTCATCGACGACGCGCGCGGTACCAAAGAGTTCACGTCGCTCCCGCACGCGGTGCGGCTGATCTACGCGCGACATGGGTTCCTGGGCTTCTACTACGGCTTCGCGGGGAACACGCTCAAGCAGGCGAGCGCGACCGCGTGCCGGCTGGGGACGTACAACATCCTCAAGGACTACGAGACGCAACGGGACATCCACCAAGGCCCCGCGACGAACTTTGCGAACGGTGTCGTGGCCGGCGTCGTTACGACGTATGCGACGATGCCGTTCGACACGGTCAAGACGAGAAGTCAGAGCGCCCGGGGCGCGGGGACGCTCGAGGCGGTCCGGAGCGTGTGGGAGGACGGGGGCGTTAGGGGTTTCTGGAGGGGCACGACGATGAGGCTCGGAAGGACGACTTTCAGTGGCGGCATTTTGTTTACGGTGTATGAACGTGTCGCGAGCGTGTTGAATCCGTTGTTCGGGATTCGTCAGTAACACGGATGGTGTCAAAATCGTGTAGTGTACGATACGTATTTTCTGTAATTGCCATAGACCATGGGCGCATAAGTCAGGCTGGCGGTTACAATGCCCGTTCCACGCGCAGTGTATTTATCCTGACACTCATCGCACTTACTGTATCACTCTAGAGAGTGAACCACAACTTAGCCCCTCGTTCATCCGTCACCTCCTACCCACCGCAAGCTGTACCTCATATAGATCTGCTAGAAAACCCAACTACCGTCCTGGTCCTAGATCAACACAGGGAAGACCTCTCGCTTCTCACCCACGCATCCACCTCCTCCCGCCCCGCCTCCATGTCGTGCACAGCCCTCAAATGTCTCCTCAGATCATAAGCGCGGCCGAAGACGTACTCGCACCTCTCGCCTTCGCCTTCAACCCTCCCACCCTGACCGACCTCGGAGCCCGGCGCGCCGGCGCAGAGAACAGACGTGCAGGGGTACGGACAGCGCACCTTCCCCGCGTCCCGCGCGCACTCAGCGTACGCCTTGCCGGTGAGGAGGTCGATCGCGCTTGGGTGCTCGTCCTCCCCCCCTTCCTCTTCCTCCCCCTGCTCACTGTCCTCACTTTCCCCCTGCCCACCTTCCTCCTCCTCCTCCTCCTCCCCATCCCCACCCACGCCGACACCCTCCCCCTCCCCCCGATGCACCCGTCCCACATGCCGCCCCACGAGATGCTTGTACCCAAACTTCCGCCCGCACCCGGCGTGCGGGCACGCGTAGGCGCGCACGCCGAGGTGCGCGACGCGCGTGTGGACGTTGAGGGATTTTTTCTGCGGAGGGGGGTTTAGTCTGGTTGTGCCACGCGTGGGGGTAGAGGGGATAGAAGGAGGGGCGAGAGGGAGGAGAGGGAGGAGAGGGAAAAGGAGAGGGAAGAGGGAGAGCGCAGTGGGAGGGGAAAGGAAAAGAAGGAAAACGTCTCACCGAATAAAACCGCTTCTCGCACCCCCCCTCCTCACAGACCCACTCCCCGCCTCCTTTCCTTCTCTTCCTCCCATGCCCCTCATCTCCTTCCGCATCCCTGCCTTCTCCCCCCTTCCCTTCCCCGTCGCCACCTCCTTCCCCGTTGTCCCCCGCCTGTTCCTCGTGGATCCTCAGATGAGCTCTCAACCCTTTCGCGTGCGCGAACCTCCGTCCCCCACACGCGGGGTAGGGACACGTCGGCGGGTGCGCCGCGCGCATGTGCGCCTGGAGCGCGGTCCAGGTCGGAAAGAAGGTGGAGGGGCAGGTGGGGCATGCGTAGCGGTGTTCTGTTGGTTGGTGTTAGTATTGGCTTGCGGTATGGGTGGGAAGGGCGGTGGAGATATATTGGGAGACGAAAAGGGAAGAGAGAGAAGGAGGAGGGCCGAGGCGAGGGGTGAATGAGTTGGGCCGACAGAAGACAATCAAAATAGAGATAGGGAGGGGGACGAGGCGGGTCTCGTTGGCGTCGGCGATGGTGGGTGGAGTAGAGAAAGAGGGTGCACCGTGGGGTCGGAGAATATGGTGAAAGGGGAGGGCAGCGAAACGAGAGGCAATGGAAGGCGGAAGTGCAGGCTCGGAAAGAAGGACATGACAAGGGACGAAGCGCAGAGGATGGAACAGGGACAAGAGGGTTACCGAGCACGCACCGTCATGCACCCGCACATGTGCCCTCAACTTCTGCCGCGTATCAAAGCTCTTCGCGCACCCCGCGTGCGCGCACTGGTACGCCTTCGTCCCGGGCGGGCGGTGCGCCGCGCAGACGTGCGCGCGCAGCTGGTGGTGCTTCGCAAAGGCCTGCGTGCATCCTTCTTCCGTACACTATGTGCACCCAACAATGTTAAATCAGCATCTCCACGGAAAAAAGTAAAAGAGGAGAATAAGACGATTACCTGGAACTTCGGCTCGCGCTCCCCGCGGTGCCACGCCTCGTGCACGGCGAGGTGCTGGCGCGTCCAGAAGCGCTTGTCGCACCCAGACTCGGGGCAGGCAAGGGGGCGCGCCGAGGCGGGGAGGTGCGAGCGCGCATGCGCCGTTAAGTGGGTTTCGCGGAGGAAGGATTTAGCGCAGGTGGGGCAGGTGAAGGGACGCTGTGCAGGGATGTCAGTTCCAGATTTCCCGGGGAGAGTTGACCAAGCAAAGAAAGGGAGGAAGGGGAAGAGGATAGACGCACCTCGCCAGTGTGCACCCGCTCGTGCTCCGCGAGCCTGCTCGGCTTCGCGTACGTCTTGTCGCAGCCCGCGAACGTGCACTTGTACCTTTTCTTCGTGTCTCTCGTCAGTACGCCGTTCACGAGGATGAAGCGTCCAGAAGACGGTCCCGGTTCATTTGAATTTTCATTTTCGCAGTGATTTGGTTGGAGAGAAGGAGAGGACGCGTCGTGTTCGGAGGAGGTGGAGGGCGTGGAGAGGCGGAGGACGTATGATAGGGAGGAGGCGCGTCTGCGTTTGAGGGGGCGGGCGGTTGTTGTCGTTGTAGTCGACATTTGGGACAGCACAAGGACGTGGGATGTCGTCGTCGACGTCGTATACGGGGTATACAAGCCCGAGCAGGACGCGCAACACGGTGACGGACTTGAACGCTGCTGCAAAACGAACTTTGTGGATACATCGGTTTGCACGCATTTGCCTATTTCCTATTTCGTATGTTTAGCCGTATGTTATTTCCTGAACACTCTTCCTTAGTTATTCCACAGACATTTTCCGAAACATATGATTTCATTATGTCGATTACTTCCGCTTTAGGTCTACGTCATATTGTCTCAGTTACTGTATTTATTTAGCTGTACTTCGTCGAATATACGCCAGAATTCTCCTCTCGCGTCTAAGTCTGACCGGTTTTCAGCCCGAAGACGTGGGTGTAATCACACTTTTGCAAAAGTGTGGGTTTACTAGTGCTCACACTGGAGACAGGTCTCTCAGCTAGCTTCGAACTCTTGTCGACACCGCTTTACTTCGTCGCCGTTCCTCGACGCCGCTCGAATACTACACCTTCCATATCGGGTAACTCAGACAGTACGTATCGTCGGCCGACATATCCTGCACGTACTAAGCTACCCCCGTTATTATGGAGCAGGCACAAGACGCCCTTGCTGCCCTTGCGAATACTTTGAGTCCCGAGGCGTATAACGCCCTCCGAACATTTTTGTGACATCGACCACGGCTTACCAGGCTCAGAACACGGCTGCTAC